ATCAAATTAACACTGCTTATCGCACGCATATTGGATTTCTTCAATTAATTTCTCCGAAAAATTTGTCTTTTACTATGCAAATGATAATCATATCTCGTGTTTATATCACCACAAATCATTTCAATATGCAGTTGCATACCGATTTTGTTGAAAGCGAAAATAAAATGGAAATTAAAGCATTAAACCCCTTCCTAATGATTGTTCATGATATCTTGACCCCTGCACAACAATTAATATCAATTTTAAAATGATGCTGAGTAGCTCAGCATTATTACTGATAATACTTCGAGGTTTCTTGATGAAATAATTATTCCATAGATACCAAGTGGCACCAATACAAGTGTTTCTGCTACTCTTTGCCATAACGGTAAGAACTGAAATTTTCAAAAAGTGCATTCCTGAATCACTAATATTTTCATGTTCCAGGTTCTAGAAACACCGAATATGCTCAATATGTAAATAACAACACATATTGATTCAGCTCGAAAAGAACCATCAGAAAACTTGACAGAAGTAACATTGAGCCAAGATTTATATATTACATAGCCATGTTCCACTATAACCGAGAGTGAAATGTTGAAGACCGATTCCAAAATAAATTCCTGATCACATTAGATAAATCTAAGATAAAGATATAAAAATTCAACTGAAATTAACCTCAACACATTGCGGTCCACCGATTTCAGTAATAGAGTAATTGATACCACCAAGTGCGTGGTCCCAAATTACATTCATGATGTTGAAAACACGCCTTATAAGACGAACTTTTTAAATATCTGGAATGAACGCATTAGAAAATTTATTATACAACTGAAGTTAATCAATTATTGATATACGACGATAGTTTTTAATACACAATTCACAGAAGATTGGGAAAGAGCAATGACACCAGTGCAGTAGAGAGATATTTTGTATCACTTTAATCTGCTTCTTGCATGTTATCTACAAAATATTGCCGGCAAACGTGAATGAATAGAGAGACAGAAAATATCTTTCAAGTCGCCATATCCTTTAAACAAATTCGGTTGATGTGTGCTTTTTAAAAGTGCAAATATGGAATCTTGTTTCAAAAAGAAAAGCTTTAAGCAATAGAACAAGAACCACTAAAAAACATCGAAAGTTGAAATAAGAAATGAAGAATGAAAAAAATGAAGAGTGCAAAAGAAAAGGATAGTTGTCGAGTACTTATTAGTCATTACTTCGATGCTTGATGACAATTATCAGTTAGGCATCGTTTTTGCAACCATTATGTACAACAAAAAGTGAAAGCAATTCCTTTGTTGTAAAAAAGAAAAGATTGGTCATAAGACTGCCAACAATAGCCAGTAACAAGTTTGATCACCAAGTAAATCAAACGTCTTGAAGGCATTATTACTACTTACTGATAGCTTAGTTTCTTCATCATAAAAAGATGAGCTGAAGTGAAAGTGGATGGTAAGTCCTGTGATTTTATTTGATTGCCATATTTAGTACTATGATTCCAACAAAACGAAGTAATTAGCTTTCAAAACTAAAACGTAGCAAACTAAAACCTTATAAAGGAGCATTATCGAGACTTGAGTATCATTGCGCATTGTTCCGGAATTGAGTTTGAAAAGTACTGCAGGCAATTTTGTATAATGAATTTCAATAACTTGTCCATATGGAATCCTCTATGATTCTCGTCCAATATTCGAATAAGGTAAATAATTAGTAGCTATTTTCTAACATTTCCCATACTAATATTTGGTCTTGGTTTTGCTGGAAAGCGTACATCAAATTTTGCATGAGATTTCTCAGGAGAACCGGATCCTGCAGTTTACAGCATCTGCACTTATTTATTAGCAAGACATCCGATTTACTTCAAACATGACTTCCACTGATGACTGAAGCATATACGCATTAAAGATATACGTATAAATTTCAGAATGAATCTCACCATATTAGGAAGATTTTATGGAAGTCAAATTATCTTTCCATTTAAATTAATCACAAAATTGAATTTAAAAAAGCCGATGAGAGCTTATAGAATGATTCATATAATGGTTTAGCTAGTATACATCCAATGAATGATCCATAACAAATTTTGACTCGTCAAAATTAGAAATATTTTCTATCATCGCTGATTTACTGGATGAAGTGAATCACTAAACTGGTAATTGGATATAAGATGCGGAATTAGCGCAGTAAATCCTTATCAGGCCATATACGTTGCTCATCCCAATCACCAAATGTTCTACCACAAACAGAAATTTTCATCAAAAACCTTCCATATGTTAGTATAATTTGAATGCGACCTTATCATTGTGATATTACGATATACAGAACGACCTTTGATAAAAACTTTCAACAGTCAACTAACTGGCCACAATGTATAGTTATACTAAATTCGACCAAACCGACTTAAAGTTATAAAGATTACTTCAAAAACCCATACCACATTAGAAAAAGTGGTTTAATCGAGAATGTATGGGTGAAGAAAGTAAGAGAGATAAACATAAGTGTGAATTACTTCCAAAAAGGACCGTGTTGACTGATTAGGTAAAGTTCGAATTTACTAATTAGACAAGACTCTTGCATGCATTTTATATTGAAAGCTGTTTCATTTATGACAAAATGCAAACGTACCTAAACAACGAATAATCATTGTTCCAGATAGTTATCTCGTGCAGCGAATACTTCAGCAGTGGCGAACATTATTTCCTTGTCCCAGAAATTCTGAAACTACATAAATCATAAGGAAAATTGGGTAGAATTCAGGAATTATTATACTGTTAATCTCACTAATAAATCACAAAAATTGAATGGGAAAAAAACTAAGTACCTTGTCAAACGAAGCACGGTGCGTTCGTGCAATACATCACCGACATTTCCATCATCACAGGATCGGAATCGAAAAGAAGAAATTCAAACGACGCAAAATGCAGTAATCTCTCCACATTTTCCTTTAATTCGGTCAAAACAAATGGTTATGTATAATAATACTTAATTGCTGCACATACTACTACTTTCTTTGAAATACCATCTCAAGATAATACGCAATGCTACAGTCGGTATGATAACAAGCTTCACCTACTGACAACTAATTCGAGGCTTCAGTGAACGCAGTCAGAGTACCACAAAATCATGTTCATAAACTTGATAAAGCAACAAATAGCAGCATAATATTAATTTCCTCTTCCTTATCAGATTGTCTTAGCTTGCAGGAATATCCGAGAAATATTCAAAACAACATAACTAAGTGGATATCAATGGGCAATTTAGATAGGAAGCAGCAAGTCATTAGCTAATAATCAGATATTCAAAAGAAAAACTATAACACTTGTTTCAAGCAAAGCATCGACGATGACATATATTTATATCACAAGCAAAAATGAAGCTTTAATTCCATTTCCGCCGAACCTACTGATACAAAAATTCAAGAGATTCTAAAACAAAATATGTATACAGCAAAGTGACTGCAACTGACATATTTGTTCATCTTAAAAACAAGTCACCAAAGCAAATAAATAACTAAGAGATTTAGAAGCGTTGATTTTAACCGCTCGATGACAATGCGCATTAGGACGCAATGTAGCTAACTCCTTCATATCGCCTTCCACTAATATTCAAAAATATGAGAGATAACATCCAAACAGACCAACTGAATGCTACTGGATTGGTACAACTCTATTTTTAGCCGGGAAACTGTTGCCGCAAGTACACTAATTTATGGAAATTCACATCAATAGCTGGATGTAGAATAAAAGTAACGGTTTAATCAAATATGAATTCTTGAAGCACTGATATGAATTCATAAAACGGTATACAAGATATACAAGTTGTACAAAAAAATTTTTAACCAAGTCTATTCGAAGAACTGACTCATGGTCTGCTCATCAATCTATAAAAGCAGAAGATGTCACTGACGGTCAAAGAAAGTTTCTAAGTAGAGGCGAATGGACAAGCTAATACTTTTTCAATCATGCATTTGGAAGCTGAATATGAAATCGAACACTGTCATCCACAGGCTTAACGCGAATTTTTATTGAATATTATTGACCGAAAGTGACACATTACCCTGCAAAAGAAATCACACAGTCTGAATGACAATTATTTTACTGCAATGATGCTTGTTACATATGCAGCAGATATTTCCAGCGTCCCGTGATTGGTAAGTAAAGTCATAACTTTCATGATAAACAGTAATATTTAAACAGCACCACCAGCGTGCTGTTTTTTAGGGCGACAGCAAATGCAGCAACAACAACAACAGAAACAGCAGAGTGTGCAGGTCAGTAGCACATAACCCAGGGTTACGAATACGAACGAAAATGTATAAGTGAACTGATCGCAGTAGTTACTGTCTCGAGAACTGATATACTGTACATCACGGTGTACCGAATACACCCATACTGAACCTAAAATTTGAGCAGCGTAAATGAAAAACGAAAAACAAAAGGGTGTGCTCACTTATATTCTGCCACTGAGCCATCAATCACATTCACAATCAAAATTATAGAAACAACACAGTTTATGAGCTCAACTATCAGTTTTAGATTTTTAAACTAAAAAAAACTGAATTACAACTAAATCAACTAGTAATGCAATCATTCTCAGAGTTTATCTTGATAGTGTTTAGAAATCCAACTTTTCTTGTTTTTTCTACCTGAATTCATTATGTGAAGTTCACTTATCATTTTTTTTCCGACTTATTTAAGCTATCTTAATTCCATTTTTTCGCGATATCTCCTTTTTAAGATGCTCTATCCTTCCTTAGATACGAAAAGAGTTTCGATAAATGTACACTACAAGAAAAATGAAAATACAGTTTAGTTTACCCAATTGCATTATTTTTCATAATAAGATATAAACTGGAAAGTTAATGACAGGCATTTCCGAAATGAACCTGCATCCACATGGCAGTGGTTTCACTTAAATACTGAAATAGTATTTAACTGGAAATATGATCCTTATCAAAATATCGTTAAATAATGATAACACCTGAAGAATTAAAGCTATAACTCTACCAATGCTACCATCAACATCCGGACAAAATACATAGTGTCAGTAAACTAATGCTAGTTATTTAATGTAATAGTTGGCTAGAATTTTAAAATAAACGGATAAAAAGTAGATACCGATTATAAACCAGACGAATAAAAAACATGACAGCAGACCATCAAAGGGATTTGGATTGACATCTGATGCGGAAGGCGGACGACCTTCACGTTGTCGTCTAGCACGATAGAAAAAATTTGTTCCACTCTTCAACAGAGAAAAAAAACCAGTGACAATAAGCCAGATAGGTATGTAAGGTTCCACGGGACAGCTATAGAGGTTATTACTACCAAGAATTATCATTCCCAATGGAATGATATTCAGTACCGCTAGAAGTACCGCAGCTGTCACTGAAATTAAGCAATTAAAACATAATAGATATTAACACTCAAAATTTTCAACGAAGAATGATTAAGGAGTTCAGTTATTAGTGAAGCATATCCGTTATAGTAGGGCCGACCTACAAACATTTCCTTAATGAGATCTGCAAATTTCGTTTTTCAGCTTTTTGCATCTTCTATGAACATATTTTAGTGAGCTCTGATAATATTGACCATTCTGCATTTCTGTTCCTTAGATTCCGAATAAGTCAAGAAGAAACAAAATGACATTCATTAACTCTTACTTGTGCTAATAATCACTGCATAAGCTTTAGCTAGAAACTGGGCTAATCCTCTTGGGTCTTCAACTTGTCGAAATTCACCATACAACGATTCATAGGTTGGCGGCATACCTGAAATCATTTATCTGCTTATTATCATCTGATATTTATTTAAACTCCTTCTCCATCTTCCTAAAGAGATAGTCAAAGTACCTCACCTACTAAATATCTGATTCTATAATAATCACTTCCAAAAAGAATATCAGAATATCAAGGGATAACAAGTACTCGGATCATATAATACTTTTCAAAAAACTAAAAGAACAGCTGTTACTAAAACGTCAATTAACTCACTGTTTGGATTAGCTGAATCCTCATAAGTCGGTGGTGAATCATCACGGACCGATCTAGTCGGTCCTACTTGTTGTACAACAACTCTATCTGGATACGGTGGTGCTGACGCAACTGGCATCGTTCTACAACAATATATATAAGTGATCAATCATCATTTATCACGTTAATTCAGAAGAACAAAGTAGGTACTACTTTACCAACTCCTTCCTACACACACATACACATGTTTATACCGTCACAACACCAACATGCACACATACGTGATATATGAGCTAAATGAGTTTACAACACCGACACATGTTCATGCGATCTCTCTACATCTCATTTTCTCTGCTTCATTCTCCTTTCTCCATCTAATGTTTCTTTTTCTCTCACCACTATTTTGACAATATGCTTCATACCTCTATAACGTATAGCGTGGAGTGAAACAGGTATATCCCCCGGATATCTTGAAGTGGAATGCAAATACATGTGAATATAGTGAAGCATTTTACGCATTACTTTGCAAGTCGAGTATTCTATATTCATTTTCCTTACTATATCCGTCTTTAACATCACCACATAAACATATCACATGTACAACGTTTTTAAGAGTCACATAAAACGTGAATAAACCGTAACAACGCCTCGGCAGTCGTGAAGCATTTTATATGAATGATGTGACATGTTTCACAATATGCATGGATAATTGCGCGAAAATGATGCTAATCACTAGAACAAACGTATATTGCACTTGCAAAATAAACAGGTAATTGTACACCAGCATTTTCGCACTCAATGTCAATGTTTTATGAAATGCATTAGTTTTATTTTTTCCTTTTATCTTTATTTTCTCCAAGGAAGACTTAAAAGTTATGATGAATCACTTTTGTATTTTGAAATAAGGAAACAGGTAGAGCCAGACTAAACAAAATTCCCCTTAATTAATTATAATTTACAAAGGTGCTCGGATATCCAGAGAAAACCGTGCACCGATATCATAGGAGCTAGAACACACGATTAATCCCATGCGACATATGATTGATATCAATCAACCATGAAATTAATATTAAAAATATTAAACTGAGTAAAATTTCTTCACAGATTCAAATGGAATTTGCCACTTACTAGAACCAGCAGAATGACGGAAAGAGCAACGCAAACAAAAGAATAACAATTTAAATATAGCATAATATTCAATGGCTATACACAAATTAACGAACACCTTAGAAAATTTAGAAAGATTTCACTCCTATTTCTACGGCAAAATCCGTTTTAAAATAGGCAAAATGCTTGATTTCAAATCATCATCATCATTGTCACCGTTTTTCCTCACTTTCTCTCGTTCCTCTTCATCGGCACCATAAGTATAACCTCGTGCCAGTCGATCATATCGACTCTCTTCATCATTAACACTGTCCTGCTCAAGAAAAAATGCCTTTAGCACCGCATTTACACGCTCACCATCTAATCCTCCAACACCCGTACTGCTGATAACGTTACCTACTGGAGAAACCAACTGGACCTTAACTTCTGCCTCTGAAATTTAGTAATTTTGGAAAACTTTATTGCTTCTATAAGACAAACATTATAATAAACTTTGAATTGAAAACTCTATTAATAGTGGAATGACTAAAGAATCATTCCGAATACAACCGAACACCCGTAAACCCTAGTATATATCAAATGTCCAAAAGTCTTTATTTCACAACAAAATAGTTACGAACCCTGAATTAAACCTGTTTCCCGAATTTTCTCTTCCAGTGTACTTTTGAAAACAAACAGCTGCTTTCGCAAGTTATCAAGATCATCGTGATATAATGTTTCTTCAGATTCACTCTTTTTTGCTGTTCTCTTTGATCGCAAATAATGCTATAAAAAGTATCAGTTGAATTCATCTTCTTTATCTCAAGTTGTTTAGTATAACTATTTAGCTAAATCCTAACAAAATGTGAAGCGATCCAAACTTTAGCAAGTAAGATGATCTTATACATCACATAATATAAATATTAAAAAACATCCGATGAAAATATCTTCCATATTGTTTCTTTTTTCTATCGTGCCATCTCCAGTTAAATAGATTCCTGCAGCAAAGGATGTTTGCCTGTATGAATTGAAATCACTCACCTCAACTTTTTTCCTCAAGTTTTTTCTTTTAGCTCTTTCAAGCATCCTTAGCTGCGCAGCTTTTTCTTCCTTGTCTATGGCATTTCTAGCTCCTCCTCTTTTTTCATTAGCACCCGTTTCTGAAACATAAAGTTTACAAAAACCAAATATTTGCTAATTACATAAAGCATCATATGTTCAAAATATGTTTAAAACTACTTGGAGCAAAATTCGACAGGACAAATGTAAAAAATTAAGCAGTTTCAAATCAAGCATTACATGAAACATGAACTCTTACACTTATAAACAAACTAACCTCCTTCGGCTGTTTGCCAACTTCCAATTTCAAAAGTTTCTGTGTAGAAAAGATGAGCATTTTCAGGACTCAAGTCTAAATAAAAACAAATCATAATAACTATAATCCCATCAATCATGACACTCAAAAAAATTATACTTTTAATTTGCTCTAAAACTAATCACCCATAAAACCGTTCCAAGAGTACCTAAAGACATGTTTAGAGGAATTTTCAAAGTAATAATGGATATTGAAATTATCGGACATTCACATAAACGTTACCTTCAATTCGAGCAAGAAACATATTCGGATTTTCAAACAACCTAAACGTCTCGGACGAAGTATGCTTCATGAAATTACCCCATGACTTTTTATCATGACGGAACAATGCACGATTGTAGCTTTGCTGAAACTATTTAATTTACAACGAAAAAGAAAATATTTCTACATTTTCAAAGTTCAGAACTCCAATAACCATGAAAAATTATTTAGCAATGATTTTAAAAATAAATCATGAAGTTGTTAGAGGCAAAAAAAAAATCTAAAATGGATGTCCAATTATCGGAGTTCCAATGACTTTAAACCGCTGCTATAACAACGAAGCAGTTAAAATCTGAGTTATCAGAAATTACATAGAGCATAAACCTCGCCCTACACAGAGAAAAATATGAAATAACAAAAGAAAATACCATGAATTTCAGAAACATTTTCTCGACCAAAATATAACTAAGTTTCCGGTCAAAATTATAATCATTTCCGCCATTTATTAACTGAAAAAAAAAGCAACGAAAATTCAGCGTGAAAGTACTGAGCATTCACCATAAGTAGTTCACTTAGTGAGACTACTCCTATGACTAAATGCTTTACTCATTCCAATGATATCGAAAGCGAAGTCAAGTACTCTACGACGAACACACAAATGAAAGAAATACGGAATGAGACAATAAATGCGGTTTATTAACAATGTTAATTCGAGTTAAATAAATAAGTATTATAAGCAATTTTGACGATTAAAAACAAACCAACGTGCGAACAGAGAGAAGCTGTCGAGCAACATGAGACATTAAATCCTCTGCTGTAAATTCTATCCCTCGATTGAATAATTTCAATACCTTGTATTCAAACAACTGCAATAATTCAAGCTGCTTCTCAGGATTAGTCCACATTACTGCTAGAAGCGGATTTTCTGCATCGTCCACATCATTTACAATATCCGGGAAAATACCTTCATGGAAAGCCTTTCTTAACGAACCAACCATTATACTAAGATGTGCTTCTGTTACCAACTTTTCATCGATTTCGTGCAAAAATTTTGAAAACGACATCTTTTTCTCGTCATATTCTTCATCTATTTTTTTCAAGAATGATGACATCTAAAAATCAAGCACTACACTTTAATCCATCACTATTATTCAAGCAAATAGCATATCATTTTTACTTAATGAGTTTACGACATGTACTACTAATTCTATTTGCTAAGTAAGAAACTATTAATAGCACTATTCAGTCCTATACCCAGAGTTAGACTTGTGATATCACTAAAAACTTCCCTGCCTGTATATGAAATAGACTGCTACATTCAATAAAAAACATAAACACACTATCAGATAGTAGTTATTAATGGCGCGTGAGTATGCAAGAGTAACGGGAAAAAATTTACGATCCCAATACGGATCTTTGAAATACCAATATATATTTCCACGATCCTCGTCCGCTTCAGTGATGTAACGTGCTAAAATTACATTAAAAGCAGCTTGTTGTCAACTGAATCTATTCCATATGTTAATAGTCATTTTTTCTAGTCATTTCTCCCACTTTTTTTGTATTATTAATAATTTTTTCTCGAATGTAGTATGCTTTCCGATGATCAAAAAGCTGGATAAGTTATCAGAAGGTTGCTAGGAGAGATTTATAGTACAACTTGCAAAACCATTCTACTTATTTCATCGAGCACATTGAATGTCTTGAATAGGAATTTTTAAAGAACTCACTTTCCATCTCGTGTAAGTCGTCGTATATAAAATGTAGATCTGCTTTCACTTTCGTAACTGAAAGAAAAAAATGGCTAACTGATAAAACGAATATTGTCAGGTAGATTAAAGAGCTTCATCACAACAACCAAAATGAATGCAGATTATTCAGCTCATCATCTGATCAATTAGAAATATATCTTACGATCAACATTCAGCTTCGTGATTGACCTCATTATATCTTCATACGTCATTTTGAGCTCTTTCTCCATCGCTTCCATTTCCTTTATACTTTTCGCTGTTCGTTTTGCCAGTTGTTTCCTAGCATATCTCTGTCGCTGAATGCTATCTGCCCGTGCTGCGAGAAGTTCCGATTCTTTCTTCGCTTCTTCCTATAAGAATCACTGTTTTGGACAATGATACGCTAGCAAAAAGACTCCATATCAGTGATTTACAGTCTAACGAAAAAGCATTAAATGAAGTTAAAGAGCAGCCATAGCTTTTGAGGGCAGAGTGATCAAGAAGGAGAGGGAGAGAGCAAAAATGGCATAATGAAAATATTGGAGAATTTCTGCTTAAAATATTACTGAGGCTCGGAACTGCATAAAAAGACACGAAGTGTTATATAAGTCATACCCTATATTAATATAAATGCCTGAGCCTCAGAACACAATGCAGCCTTTGCGTTCTATTTCGCGCTTTATGTTTAATGCTCTTAGATGAGTTTAACAAAAAAGTTAGTTGTTATGACAAAAATACTTCAGTCAGTCTGTTGTACGACAAAAATATAGATTTATAACAAACTTCAGAAACAAACTTTTTGTCGCTTTTCCTCAGCTACTTTTTCGAGGTACTGTTCAACAGCTTCCTGCTCCAATAGAGGACGGCACATGATTGATAAAGGTTCACGCGGTTTGCTTTGACTTGAAAAGACATCCAATTTGCAAAGTGATCCTGTTTTCACTTTTATAATATATTCACATGAGGATGGCTCATCGACATCAGCGATGTATGCTTCGCTTGTCGATAACATATCGTCACATATGTACTAAAAAAGACAAAAAACTTTCAATATTCGTATCTTCCCGAAAGTCGAACAATGTTACATCTCACTCAATTCTAAAAAATGTACAAAAAATACTGTAAGAATTAATTAAATGACTTCTGTGTTCTTTAATTTCACTAATGATTAGTGTTTTACTGAGAATTCTTAATGGCCAAGAATTAAAAAATGCGGAAAAAAATTCTTGGAGCGTGTGGCATGAGATATCATCAAATTCCATCACTTTCTGCCAGTACACAAAGAAATTGAGAGGAAGGCATTTATAGCAAATATGCAACATCAAATGATCAATGTAAGCTAGTTTATTGAAACTACAAAGAAATACTGGGAGCTACGTACCCATACACGTGCAAGCCTCGATTTGTCTGTCACATCGCAAACTGTCCCGTCATCATAAATTTGTTCAAAATAAGGTAGCTCTTCACCTTTGTGTTTTGACAAATTAATATCCGAGTCGTTTTTATAATGTCCTAAAGCGATAATCCTACCAACAATTTTTGAGCCTAAAAATGAATGTAATATTAAAAAATTTATATATTTTAATGGTTAAAGAAAAGTAAAGTGAAAAGCTTTCCGTTAATTTATTTACGCTTCAATTCTCACCTTCAAGACGGAATTGCTGCACATGTTTGTTATAGCAAAGTTCGTACGTCCACCATCCCGTATTCTATAAATTTATTTTTATAATTTGTAGAATGCAACATTGCACTAACTCGGATAAATATGCAAACACTAATAAACACGATAGAATGATAAGGCTGTACTGTATATATATTTTCTCCATTTTCTCATAGATTCAAGGCTGACTGGCCTTTGTCATTCTAGCTCCTCCTTACTCTATATTGAATTTTCTCAAAATACTTACTTTTCGGATGCAATTTTGTACATAGAAACTTGCTGCTATAACGTCGGAAATCAAATTCACAGTTAAATTTGATTTTGATTCACCGCTTGTTTTTGTTAATGGAATTTTGGGCAACGAACAGATAAATTTTTGTCCAAATTCACTAGCAACAACAGTTGAGCTTTTGTCGTCTACGTCGAATATCTCCTAGAAAGTGAATGTACTCAGAAACCTTGTGCACTGAAACCTCTATATTTTTACAAATAACTAAAAGTATAATCAGCGAAATTAACTTTTATTTGACAAAGACTAGTATTGATCTACATTCTTATTTCATGTATATATTCTCTAATATCTTATATATTTATAACAATTAGGGATAAGATTTGATTATGTTAGAATAATTTAACTGCAATTTTCAAGTTCTTTGTAACAAGTTTTATTTACCAGCACTGTATTCTTCGGCATCTTTTCCTCTAATGTTCCACCATACAATTCCAAATTTTCAAATCCGAAAGGTATTTCCGCAATTTCGAGATCGTATGCTACATTTTGCAGTTCATTTGTATTATAAACCGCATAACAGCATGTGATGAATACCAGCAAGGAACGAAAAAGTTGAAGTACTACCTTGTCGAGCCACATAATGTACTGGACATCAGCTCTAAGAATAAAATAAAACCATCATACAGATTGAGAAGATAAATATAACCCTATCTTGATCTTTTTTCCATCAAAACTTTACGTTTGTCCATGGCAGTAAGTCAGGTTTGAAATATATTCAGTTAAAATTTATTTAAACCAAAACAAACTAGTTTACAATATTTCAATTCCTCTCGATCTCTATTTAATAAATTTATTCCATCCACCTTTTTCCGACAGACTTGAATAATTAAGATAAATAGTCACCAAATTATTTAACAGTTATAAATGAACTGCAGTCTATCGAGTACAAATAAAGGGAAAAAGCCCATCTATTTAACAATGACTGCCACAGTTCATTCCACTCACTACTGATTGCGTTTCAGCGAAAGATGGAAACAGCAGAAAGATGAGGTCATCATGAAAAACGTCATCCTGTCTTGAATACTACTGAGCGGTAGGATTACGACAAGCACTCCGGTTTTTTAGATAAATAATTTCTGAGTAGCCCAGGAAATGGCCTTCGAGCAGTTTGGAATCTTTGAATAATCATTTAATAATCTATCAAATGATGATCCGACCTTTTATTAACTAATTCTCCGATTTCATGACCTTTTAATAGGTTTACCATGTTCATAAAATGACACAATCCTTTGGGCAGCTTTAGATGTCGAAATGTGTGAAAAATTTGGCAGTTAAAACTAGAGTATAAGAGCAAAAGTTTGTTTACAATTAATATATATAAGACTTTGTATGACTTAACACAGCATAATATTCACTTAATACTTATCGAGTATTCATTTCGCACACGAAGGATTATATGCTTTAAAATGATGTAATCCTATTAAAAATACATTAATGAATAATAGGCAAAATTATTGTAGTCATTATTTTTCTTATCCTCATCGAAAAACACTCAGTAGCTTTGCTAGCAAGATAGACTGAACGGAGAGTTTCCAGAATTATAAAAATTCTATATGATTATCTCCAACAACGATGTTTTGAAAGGAAAGAAGGAGAAAAGTTAGGTCAGAATGAATTCTGGACATCAGTTTTGTATCTGTTATAGGGCCCTCCTCTAGTTATATGTCACCAATAAATTAAATGCTTCATTGAATGATCGATACCCCGTTATTTTTCAGAATTCATCATTATTTTTCAACGCCATGGTATATAAAGGATGTATTTCCTAAAAAAAATCTCTCGATTGCCCCACAAATTTCAATTTTAGTTTAATTTTCAAGAACTTTTCTTATTGATATTTTCTCGGAGTGTGCAGGAATGATCGATGATAAAACAATTTTATTCTCAAGATTTATTCTCAAAGTAATTTCTCAGCTGTGCCAGAGCCTTACTTCTATGACTGATTGTATTTTTTATTGCAGAGCCCATTTCCGCGTATGTTTGCGAGAAACCTTCTGGTTCAAAACATGAATCCCAACCAAAACTCGTCTCTCCTCTCGGTTGAACTATTCTTCCATTCGTTCTTCCTGCATGAAAAATGTCTTTAATGATGTTCAGTAAAATAACATGATCAATTCTCTAAGCGCTGCTTTGATTAGATGGTGTTAACAGAGTGGAGTGCCACTGCCTTACATTACAACGAACTAAAATGTAAAACTAAGATTAGGAGTAACTTAAACTGCATTATTTCCCATCAGACGATAACCAACACTGTCGACACTTACATTAGTAAGATCCTATATCATCTAGGAATCGCTCTCAGCAAAATACTCTCCAAACTTGAAACGAGAAGTTAGAATCTGAATAACATTAAGACCAATCCGATAACCAAGAAGTAAGAAAAAATGAAAATTAAATTTAGTCGACACGGAATACTTCATAAAAATTCACCTTCGAAAAGAACAACAGGATTGGATGAATTTTCGCAATATGCAAATATACATTGCGCATATGCCGTCTTATCTTCAAAACCAGCTAATAATTTGTGGAGACCGTCGGGTTTCAAATTCTTGAGAAACCTATAACAAAACATTACTGAATCTCTCTCCCCTCTGTCAAGATAGAAGTGACACAAACAAAAATATAAATGTACTGCACTTTAGAAAGGTAATTTTATTGAAAAATCAAAAAAAGTACCACTTAATGTATGGCCCAGGCAGGCCACCAAGCGCATTAAAACACAGACAAGTATCTTCAACTATTACGGGTTGTTGTAGTCGTTGTGAGGCTGCTAAACATTTTAGTCTGGCTATTTCGGAAGGTTGTCCTTGGTATTCCGGCAAATCGATGTCTTCATTTTTGATCTGAAACATTCAACTAAAATAACGATCCATCCTAAGCCTTTTTCAACTACACATTGTATGACCAAATTGTGCTTCGTCAGCACTCAGTAATCTTGGGAAGATGTAGATAGCACTTCCCTACAAATTTAAAATTCCAGTAAAATAAATTTTCTGACATATTTTTTAAAAGGAAAGTAATTTATTTCGAAGCACTGTCAAACTCTTATTCAAGAACAAAATTAAGATTAACGAAAAAATATTCATATAGTACTTTTCCAGATAAATGTAAGAGATATATACATTATTTAGCAATGAATTTAATGATTACAGAATGGATAAAATTGTCTATTCATCGGATGACTGAGTGGTCTGCAAACCTAAACATTTTTTGTTTTTTCTGAAGCAAATTTTAGACCATTCCTTAATCTTTCTATTTAGAAACAAAGGTATCTTAATCTTCTCTAAAGAATGCCAATTTCTTGTTTTCTTATTCATAACCCGTCTTTTTTAGCATTCGGTCATCGAACATTATTAATCTTATCACGCATTTAACACATTAAATTCATCTATTCACAAAAAAATCAAGAAAAATATTCACAACGTACTTTATAACAAGAAAAACATAATTGAAATTCTTAAAGGTAGTTCATAAAAATGATTATATCGTCACGAAGACAACAAAGAGAAAAGTTTCAATTAAATGTTTAGGAACCAAAAATTTAAACTTCAATAATATTTTGCCTTATACTTCGGATCCCTATCTATTAGAAATCTACGAACAGCAGCACGTGGAATTCGCTGATAGCGAAACCGATCAAAAAAGATGGACGTTCTTGAAACGTGACGATAAGCTAAGGAAGTTGTTGAGACTTGATTCTTGTGGCTGAAGATGGGATCTTTTTCCAGAAGAGGAGAAAAAACAACTCGATGGACTTTTCTTCCGGAAAAGATTGAATCATTTTTTGGACATCTCTCTTCTGTATCACGAAATAAGTTCGAAGTCGGCTCCCAGACCGGAGCTTCTCCAACTTTCGACGTTTTCCGGCTACATTCAGATACTACTTCCTCCTTATCGAGTAATGTCGAAAGCAAACTGTATGAATTTTCATTCCCGATAGATTTTGAAGAATTTCCAGAACAGAATTTTTCTCTCATATAAAACGACCCGCATTGACAGCTCATACATCGTATTCTGTCATCATCATCAGCGAATAGTTTTGATAACGATGAAGAGTGAACATTTCTTTCACTTTCTATATTAAGCACAGTTTCCGAATTGGTACCACTCTTGTAGAATTTCTTATCGAACAAACCATAACGCATTGGCGCCATATCAAGAATTAATTCAGGGACGGTAACCAACAAACCAGAACTTCTTGATGTTTCATTCAAACAGCGAGATTTTTCTAACAGCTTTCCAATATTTTCAAATGATGAATTGCTCGCCATCCCACTGGAATTCCACGCCAATGTAATATCTTCCACTTTCCCTGAAACCTATCTGTAACACTTCCTTAAAAGCTTGTCAACTATATAATAAAACCATTACCGTGAACCGATCTCCAAGGATAGTGCGTACTTCTTTTATTTTATTCACATTTCCAGTAACGAATAGCAATGTCTGCATAAATCTAAACATTTAAATAAATATTATCGTTGAAATCTACTATAAACAAAGTTTGCACAAACGCAACCTGAATACGTCATAGTTAAATTCAGATAAGCTTAATTTCAAAGCGTAAATCACATACCAGCAGCTCTTGCAGACATACCTAAAACACGTTGCGTCAGCAAATCAGATATTATATGAACATAAGAAACTGCCCGTTATTTCTATTTCGCTGTCATTTTCAAAGTGTGATATAGATGCCTTATTTTCTTCCTTTGTTGTATAAAGAATGTGCTTCAAAGTGAAAATGTCAAATTACTTTGGCAGATGAAAAATAAAGAAAAAAGTAAGAGAGATCAAGGATTAAATATTGAGCCATTAAAAAAATAATTCTACAGCATTCAGAAGGGCAGTTTTATTATTAAATAGTATTAATTTCATAATAGACCAGTAACAACATAATGATAAAATGTGATAAAAAAGAATCACCGCAACAATAAAATCATTGGACAAACATAGTACCATATTGCACAACATTGCAGTGTTAAACGTGAAACATAATATTAACCACAGAAAATAATGCAAGTTTCAAGCTTCGAGAAAGAAATTCCAGTATGAAGTGTATTTTTCTAAGATAGATTATACACGATAATTTACAACCAGGGATTGTTCTGTCTTAGACATCCAGCTGAATCTTAGCACAACACCCTCCCATAATCCCATCATGGTCAGAAGTAATATCAGTACGTCCAAATAATGATTTCGGTAAAAATGGTTCCCAAAGATGCTAACAGGCTACAAGAAGTTAAGACCAGCACCCACCTGAAAAGATGCCCCACACTGGTCGCCTGACATGTACTTCAATGGAATAACATAATTCAATTCAATCCGAACAAAATTTTTGATTAAAAATGTCAGCCCTAATCCAGCACTAACACGTACAGCATTTGACATGTCACGGAATCGATGTCGAGAATCGGTCGACGCTACAGTTCCTCCAGCAATAAATGCATGCGCAAACAACATTTCTGGTGGAAAAAGTGGCCTAAAATAACATATTTCGAAGAAATGTTCAATAATAAAACGAAAAGATAGAAATAATTTAGCTGGTTCTTATACTTCTTACGTTCAAAATCAGAAAAGTGAACCCCCTGAAATCCTAAACGCTAAAAAGGTCGCACGTACGCTACATACTAATAGTGAAAATAGTTCTTCCTTCTTGAATCTCATTTTTTTCTCATTGCTTCCTTTTGATTTTCATTCTTCAGTGGTCTTTTTGGACCCGCAACATCTACCTAGTAGGACAAGAAAATAATAATTTCAATACGTCATACTTATTTACTTTTAGTACGTTTTTTTAAGTTCTTCAGTAGGTTCCTCAAATAATTAAAATAATCAGACGTCACTTGGATAAGAACTGTGAGTTAAAATTGTAAATACGCATATGGCAGTGCTCACAGACAAGTATATAAAAGCTCTCTTCAATGCCACGGCAAAGCGGCATCTTTGGTCGATTCACAAGGCAGGTATACAGGTATAGTGATGACAAATATTTTATCAGATATTCTTTCACTATTAAAGTAACAAACAGTGATCACATACCTATAAATATGCAAAACTCCAATAGCAGAAGTCGCTCCTCCAACACATGATGAACTGTCGGCTCGCCCCCCTATTGTATTCCATCCAAATCCACGAACATCATGAGGCCCACCGACATACAAACGATCCAATAGGTGTACTGAGCGATGAGCGGCTAATGTATTGATAATCGCAAACTGGCATGAAGCACTCAGGAACATACCCATGAATAATGGGGTTGCTGCCTTAAATTACCTTTGCGATAATGAAATGACAAACAAAAAATTATGCGCAATTATTTGTATTAAATGTTGTGAGAATGGAAATAATTAAATCAAGAATATGATCAGTCGCATTTCAGGCTTGCATCATCTTCACTACACGACAAACATTTAGAAAAGGTTGTGAAAAGATGAATGAAAGAACTGACTTGAGCATCAAACTGATGTTTGACAAATGCTGCATCACCAAGAAGGCCTGCGTATTCCTGAGCAACTTTCAGTAAAACACCTTCTGTAGCAAGAAGTGGTCGGTCTCGTGTATCATAAGCCAACGAATTCTGCACTGAACACTTCATTGTATAGCCTGCATGCTCCCGAACCGAAAATGCTGCTTTTTCTGCTGGACAAAATTTTCGCCAGATCTTAAGTACGACTTGAATAAAAGCAATTCATTTGCGTCTGGCTCTTTGTCATTGTTGGTCATAGCTATAAATATCTTCTCTTTTTAGTAAAGACTCCCATGTTGAGAACTCATATTTATCGCTACACTTTTAAAAAATTTTAGATAGCCTAGAAAACATAACGGTATGTGAAAGCTTAACACTTCAACTAATATGATTAAAAACATTAACAACATTTTCCCGCTGAAATGTAAGGGTGAACTTCATGTGAAAGAAAACATCCAACAAAACAACAGTAAACATAACACACCGTATTCAATTTCATATTATGGTGAAGTTTCCTGTTCCATAACTGACCATTATATTGCAGTACCAATCCAGTTTCCTGCGTATTACTGAGATTCCACGGTAAATTGCCCAAACTTCGATACAAAGAAAATCCCACATTAGCATACTTCTGCCAGCCCAAAAAAGGCTTTGCCATTGAAACATTGAAAGTTTGATTACCCTGTAACTACAACTTAGTCAAAACTTAAAATCTGTCGAATTACTGGATTTATGTAATTAATCACAGCCAACATTACAATATTGAGTCCAGCTCAGATTCCAGAAATTTTAACAAATAATATTATTCAGTTTGTATAGAAACGAACAAAACTTAAAATATCTCTTCTTCATCAGATGAAAAACCAAATCATTAACCTCGAAAGTATAGGAATAGTACGCATTCACCGATTCACCACGTCCTCCAAAACTTTCTTTACCTGCATTCAATGAATAATCAGTTTCGCCTCGACTGGTCACTCCAGCCTAAAAAATTAGTGCAAGAAACTACTTATTACATCCATCTGAACCATAATGATAATGTCATACAAGATTGGTCCACGTAAACTAAATTAACCTTAATGCCTAAGGTGAATGACTTCGGCTCCTTTATTATAAAATCAACTACATATTTGCCCCGCTTTCCATTTGCTGTATCAATCAGTGGAGTGACGCTGTCCATAAGTCCAACTTCCTGTAATGCATAAGCATAATATTACTTTCAGCAATATCAATCTATATCAGAAGCTACTAAACCAGTAAGTTTTGAAAAACCTACTCGAAGATGTTTGGCAGCTAGATCGCAGCATCGTATCAATTCCGGAAGTGATGAAACTGTGTACAGATATCCAATTTCTTTCAGTAGTGCATCATTTTTAGTAGTTTTAACTCCATGAAATTGTATAGCTTCAACAATAACTGGCTGATTATCACATTTTCCGTACAGGACATCAGCTGGATGATATTTTTTAATTTTTACTGTCGACATTTATAACGGAGCGAAAGTGGAGAAAGTATCGATATTTCCTGAAACAGCAGTTTACTATATATATGTGAGATTTTAAATGCCAATACTACATTGTCTCCAATAATTACACTATTTTATTCTTTACCTTCTTTGCACAATGCAGTTAAAAATTTGCGGGCAGTGCAATTTTTTTGTAATATTCGTTAAAAATATCAACCACACAATATGTCAACAATATTACTCATATAACATTTTTCGAGAATACTGTATTGTAATAAATGTAATAATAACGAAGTTTTACCAGATTATAATCAAGTAACTATGTCGAGAAACAATCAAGCACTTATATCAGAATATATAGTTTGAAAAGAGTTAGATATGATGCCTTAATCTTACTATGTTTAAAATGTAAGGAAAACAAATCGCAGCGAAATTCGATATTTGTTTTATCTCTTCAAATGCATAAACTCTTTGATCGTTTCCGTTCGTTTTTATGCTTGAAAACAGAACATATCCCAATATTACCAGTCCAGAACATCCCATTAAAAGTCCTTTACCCAACTCCCATATTCAAACTTTTATAAATAAGCATTAAACTATAACTTTCGGCCCGGTAGTGTATTTTACGGATGGCTGAATAGTTATTGGTGAGATCGGAAAGTCAAAGGTCACTGCGATATGACATTAATTGACCGCGTTATCGTCCACTTCGATGGGTCATCACTCTGTTATGACCCTAATCCATTACATCACCGTTGCCTAATTGTTTAGTAGTTAGCGTCGTAAACGCTTCCATTGGGTCAGTGTTCAGTATATCGTTGCGGTAGCCGAACTCAATTGTCTCAACTGGTAGTATTTTGTCGTCATTGCAATAGGAAATATTCTGAAGGAAATATATCACCATATAAGAAATATCCTGATTTTTTTTCCATAAATTTGACGATAACATTGAAACAGTTTGGCGGTTATTGTCTGGTAGCTTCTGTCTAATGGCTTAACATCAGATATGTTCACCTCAGATTTGAGAAGTCTTTGTTCCTAAATATTGCATTATCAACTATTTTCTTCTTTATTTTTTCCACCAATCAATTCATACAAAATACATTCTCTTTACAGGTTTCTTACGGGTAACAGTCATGAATGATCCTCTCGCTTTCCCATGGGCACTGATTTGTTCCGTACCTGACAGGAACTCGATCCGGGCATTGCGGCAAGTTTAAAAATAATTTACTCAGTAATATTTAAGATAGTTCCAAGTTTATGGATTGTAACACTCTGCTGTTCAATGTAAGGCATCCTTCAAACTTTTTTACTTTTAGATATTTTTGATGATGAAGGCAAGCAAAGTTGGATTTTTTTGACTTTTATTAAGCTAAAAATTGTCCTTTTTAAAGAGAATTCACTTTATGGCTTACGAGCATATTACAAGAAAAAGCAGTCGAATATGGATGCAGCCATCGTTTTGATAAAGAGCCAAAAGCTGTGTTTTATACAACTCCTGGAATTGAGGAGGAAGTTAGGGTGGTATACAGTGCCATTCACAGAGGTATCTTTTTTGTCCATAATGATATTTCGAATATCTTGTTATAAATAAGGTCACAAATGATGGCGAAATTATTGTCGGGTATTGATTGGGTTTGTCACTAAAAATAATTCCTTCACAATGGCTGCCGACCAAAAAGTCGAATGATACTGCACGATTTAGCTCATTTTTATCTCATCTGTTCTAACGATGATCTTGAATGCTTGGGTCTTTTCCTCAGAGTCCGTCACTGATTTACAAGTTCAGCCATCTCAGTCAAAACTTAGAATTTATAAGGAAAATCCAAATAGTTCTGAAATTTTCTTTCTGTTTCAATCACAAACTTTGTATCCTTTTCTTATTTAGATCATCCAGAAGTCATAATTGTGTTTCATATTTTACCGATGCCAAATTCAATTGAGTATAAATTAATGAAGGAATTGGCTGATGAATATGATTTGATACGACAGGGAATACTGTTAGAAAAAGCCACTACTTATTTTGACGGATGTGATGTTAAAGAAGTTCTTGGTAATATGCTTCAGTGGTTTAATCGTCGTATTTCACGACTTATCGCTTTAGAAAAAAAGTAATTTTCCTTACTTGAATAAGCTCTTGGATTTCTCACAGTATCAGTCTCTTTCATACTGTGATATTCTTTGGGTTCGTTTTTCTGAAAAGGATTCAATAATTTTCGAAAAGAGAAGAAAATTAATCTTATTCTATTATTATTGTAGGGCTCTTGCAAAATTTAGTCTACGAATTGGTGAAGATGGGAAGTGTACAACAAATATAATATCCTTTCCAATGAGCAATATCAGTACTACAGTGCAAAAAATTCTCCATGGTAAAGACGATGACATATCTCAAAATGTTAATGTTAATGGTACCATTTTTATTTTCTGGCTATTAATTTCTGGTCTTTAGTACAAAATAGGATTTGTGACATAGTAGTTTAGGATGAGACAGGAAAATAATGCTTATAAGCATTCATTTGTTCGATCTAATCTTTATTTGTTCATTCATTTGTTCGAGACAAGAAAATAATGCTTATAAGCATTCATTTTTTTGATCTAATCTCCTTGAGTCATCGCGATAAATCAAAATCGAGGAGTATTTTGGAATCTGGCAAATATGTCCGTCCTAGAAGTTTTATAAGAGGAAATTGTCTATCGTTAGAAACAGAACAAATTTATTTGGGATGGGAGAATGTGTTCTATCAAACTTGTATTTTCAGTAAAAGCAAGCGTTGAAGTTTTTGGTTATCCGTCAAGTTTTAATGAGTTCGAAATCGCAAACATTTTCAAGTATTTCCGGGTCATCCATGTAGTGAAAAGTTTAATTAATGGTGCAATGGTGGAATTCGTGAATGAAATTCATGCAGCTCAAGCTGCTATTGAGTATGATCGAAGTTGGATTGATTCAATACATTCATTAACGGTGACACCCATCCATCCAGAAGTAATCAAAGAAGTGAAAACAGCGTTGCACGATGAAAATATCTCTTATCAATCGCTCTAAAAATCTCCAGTTCAACTTTCTCTTCAAAAAGTTTGACTTGAATTATGCTAAAATTCGATGCTTTTTTCTTGTTGTAAAGGATCTCATTGTAAGTCTTTCGTATTGTGAACTACCATCATCATCAGAACAATCTTACCAAATGGACTGCTCTATTTCTACATGATCTTTCGTCCTTTCAGCTTCCGATATTGAGTTGTTTATTGCTCTTTCGGAGTTATCAGATAACCACTCTTCCAGTGATCACAACCTCCTATCTAATCTTTATTTCTATTTATATGTTGGAACAAGAACTGCTGAAATGATATTCAATTGCTATCCAAAATATTCTGTTTTCGGAGCTTTAAGGAATTTTTTACTGTTTTTAAAGCTTCTTAAGGCTCTTATTGTCTCCATAAGGGCTTGGATATCTTTTTTTCAAACAGTCGTATTATAGGACATTTTTAATAAACATCTTTTTATTTGAAAGAAGCTCTAAAACTCCTATCTATTTTAATGAACACCCAGCAAAGCTACAAATTGGTTCATCCTACTGCCAATTACTTAAGTGCTATTAAATCACCGTTGCAAATTATTTTGATGATAAAAACACTCTTTTGCCACAATGGATAAATATCTTGAATATCTTAAAATATATGGTTAGTGTCCAATCACGTTAAATACTTTTGAACTATCATTGTTAATGGTATCATTTTTGAGGAGTCGTCATATTTCCATGTCGTTATTTGGAATCATTTATTCACAATTCAATGTCATATATGATAGATGATGCAATTAAGCCTCATTGATTTACTAAAAGTTTTATTTTCATTTGAAACACATTGGCAGCAGAACGAAAAACTCAAAATTAATTTAAACTGGCAGAAGAAAATAAAATGAAAAAATGTATTCAATAACTTGATATTCCTCGACTATCCACAAGAACATAAACAAAACGATGATTTTGCAAAGCATAAATATCTGATGTATATATATTAGGTTTTTCTTTTTCCACTTCTAAATTTGAAGAGTTCATTTCTGCATTCACTCGCAAACGACAAACTTGATGTCTGCGCAGTCACTAAAGAAGAGTCAAACTTGTTTCAAATGTTCTAATTGTATTCTAGAATTAAAGCCTAGCAAGTTCTTCATCACATCTTGAAGATTCGTAAATCCTCCAAATCTGCTGAGTTTTTCCAATAAATTATATTGTAAAACGAAAGTGCTTCAATTGCAATATTCAATCAAATGAAATTAAAGCATACCAAATCACCACCACCAAAGTGGTATCGGCTCACGAACTATCAATTCTTGGCATGGATTCGATCGCATTTTCCAGTTCGGATCCACCGTAATGGGAATTCTTCGATATTCAGCAGTTTCATCAGCCGGAACTGTAATTTTTAGGATGCCATCGGCATCTAACTCTGATACTAACTGCTTTTCCTTAGCACTTTTCGGCAATATATAAGTTCGAACAAAATGACGTTCAACAATGCTCCCATCTCCTTCCTCACGTCCATCATGATGTCCGGAAATGATCAATTCACGGCCATGAACATTCACTTGTAAATCATTAGCATGAAAATTAGACACGTTTAATTTCACCTCAAATTGATTTCTTCCTTGTTCACTTGACATCTATAATAGTGGTAATTTCAATTCATACGAACAGTATCCATAATGATAATAATTATTTTTATACAAATGGATAGCAATTTTAGTCGAATTATTATCTGTTCTGTAAACGCAAATTTAAATGTTGTGAAGTGAACTTGTGAACTACTCTACAGTTCCAATTTCGGGCTTTCAACATTACGGTATAGGTGAAAACGGTATGTTACCCGGAACTGATTAAACTTCCATCAATTAAAACAAATAGATAATTCGAAATATTCAAAATGGTGACAGATCACTGATTAATCAAATATTCAAACATGAGTTCTCCATCCTTTTCTTCTTCCCTTGGAACACTGACAGATCCGGTTGTAAGAGTTAGAAGACTGATGATAAAAAAAAATTATAAAATTCGGAAAGTAAGGCAGAACAGAAAAGAAGGCAGAGGAGAAGACAACTGACGAAAGAATACAAAAACAAGATAACTGACTACTCACTTGGCATTCATTTCGATTGTCAGTGCAATGCGATGTCCCAGCATTCGCCCGAACGTTCTGGAACTTTCTCTCCTTTCGAGGGAACGGTTTTATCTCATGTTCATTTCGATTATAAAGAAGATGTTGGCATTTCCCAGAATGTTCTGGAATTTTCTTCCCGTTCAATTTTTTGATGGAATGGTTGATGATTAATCTTTTAAAGAGCTTGGGAGATAAGGATGAGAAATGTGTCTTCGCTTTCCCTTGAATTTAAGCTATACCAACTAAGCCCATAAAAATACAGTTATATTGGCAATGATTGATGACATATTTCTCAATAATAGAAGAAAACGAATAATATATCGTGACATATGACATGCAAGATGTAAGCCTGAAAATTAAATAGAATAATGGTTCAGCAATTGGTCAGGACGTCTCTCGTATCATGATGACAGATCACAAGAATGTTTTATCTTTTTACTCTTACTTTATTTGTAGCCTCAATACCGCGATAGATTCATTTACTTTTAAATGTTGCTAACTTTCATATCATTCTTATGCTATTATTTAATACACATGAAATGTTTGATTTTGTCTTCCTTTACATACATCAGTTATGAAAGATGAAAGTATTAGATAGATTGCAGATGAGCAAATAATTGTTACTTCTGGTCAGAGTAACATTCCCGCTTGTTACTATTTCAATTAGAATTAAAAATTTAAATTCGACTGGAATTGAAAAATAATTCTGCGAAAATGAAATGGTACAGCCGAATAATAAAATTCTATCATTAAGATGTCTCTCGTCGTTTGCGGAATGCAAAAGTTTGTTTGCGATTCGTAGATGATAATTTATGGGTACCACCTACAATATAAATGAAAATTTGTTAGAATAGAAAGGGAACGCATGAACTTGCTAAGAGACTATAAGAGAATTGTGTTTAGTAAAATATACAAAAAATCAACAGGTGAAGGTTTCCCTGTATCAGTGATGCTTCAGATTCTCTGAAACTGTGGTATCAAGGCACGTCAACAAGAATTGCAACAGTCGCTAGAACCATACCTTTGTATTTTCTGGAAAAGCTGCAGTTGTTTTTTGCAAATAAATGATGGAAAAAAATATAGCTGAACAAAGACATAGTGATGAAATTATCCCGCTAACATTTGACAGTATTTCTTTCAGGTTGGGCCTTTTGAAAGCCACTTACTAACAGCCTGCAAAGCATTAGAATGCTATTAGTCTTATGATGAATTCCACCTCAGCTATTGATTTTCCAGTTTGGGACAGTAAGCAATTGAATGAGATGCATAATACCAGCAAAAAATAAGCGCAATACAAAGGAACTGGCACCATTTCGACTGAACACGAATGTCAACAGCAAATTTCTGAAGAAAGCGAATTGTTGTCAATTATACAATGATAATATGAAGGAAAACAAAGTTCCAAAGTACTGAAAGTAATCATCACGAAATGATGAAAATATTGAAAGTAATCATAATAAGATAATTTACGATGTGTAGAACACATAGAATAGTTGTAACTCTCAGACTGCTTTTACTGTTCCTTATCATTTATAAACCAAAAATTTGAGCATATTTTTTGAACTAATGATGCCGTTATCAGGTTAGTCTTCATCTTCTAGACACCTCATCTTGATACTGGCTGCAGTATTGGAGGTTTAACTATTGTTCTGTTTACAACTATTGTTCGCTGCAAGTCAAAACAAATGATGATTGAGTAGCACTGGAAGCACGTAGTCTCTAAAACTTCAAGCATGTTGAAAAAATTCTGTAAGGTTTAGTTGACTAAAAGCAGATGTTATGATCGACGACAGAGTAAATCTCGCATTAATACATGACAATACTATGAATCCTTCGACAAGCGATATCGCCGTTGTTGAATGCAATGAAATAACCGGATAGTCCTAGTCATTCTGATTATCAAAAGTAATGAAATGATCAAGTAGAATGGTTTACAATCTTTTGAGTTTCTATTCTGAGGAAATTCGATTTTATTTTATTTTAAAATAGTTTGTCAAGAAGTTCTCGGTCGTCTTTAGAAGTCGAATTCACATCAATCACTCTCAAATTCCATTAAGTCGCTACTGCGACATGAAGTATTGGGACAGAGCCGTATATCCATCAAATTAATTCTTCTTGGATGTTCACTGCAGATGAGTGCAGCATGACCTCGAAATGTCGCTCCACAAGCAAGACATTTTATAGTTTTTTCTGATCTCTCGCAGATACAATTCGATATTGAATTCTTTTCTGAAAAGTAATAATTCATAATTCGAGATATTTGGTTAAGGCAGGAAAGACAACGAAACCTAAACTGTGTCGCAGCGAAAGACTCCATTATTTCCTTTAATAGTTAAGTTACAGTCATATGAACATATGATAACAGACCTCCTTTTTCCATAGAAATCTCCTTCCGATTTGAGAGGAACTGCACAGTTGAAAAGATTTTTGAATTTCAGCTGTCCCTGAAAAAACATCTTTGGAGGTTCCATTGCAATACTCTTCACCTTATTTCACAACAAACGCTTCGTATTTAATATTACTTAACACCCAGCATGTCTATTCCAAAACACTTGCTTTTCCACAGAGCATTTTCCTCTTGCAAAATACTTTTGATCATCGCAAATTTGAATTTCAGTTCTTGGGTGTTACGACAAACACTAATTTGTCCCCAAAAGTCTCGAAATTTTCTATTCCTCTGTTGTTAAAAATCAACAGATTACTTAACATTTCTCCATATATTGCATTCAAAAAACAATATGATAAAACGTGACCGGTAATTCCTGGAATTTGGGAAATAATGCAATGAAAGTTGGTATTCAAAAAACGTAATAGAAAGCGACTAAGTAATTAACTGATCCAACAGTCACCAAACTGAAGTTCTTGATAAATTTTTGAAAAAAACTTTAATTTCATTCGTTACTTCTTCAAACAAAACAAAATATCATTACAAACAAAATAAACACTATCAGCACTAATATTGATCTATTTATGATTTAGATCTTGCGTGAATAAAATGAGATGAATTACTCTAAAGTTAAAAGAGGAATATTTGAGTGAAAGGAAGACAATACAAGCAGCAACAGAATTCAAAATTAGGCCAAAATATATACGTAAACATTATGAGGCTCACTGTCCAATAAAATCTTCTATGCTAAAATCTTCTTGGATCCAGCGTTGTGCGTTTCGTTTTCGATTGAGATCAATTTTCTTTTGATTTATTTGCTTCTATAAAAATAAATAAAAATGAAATAAATTTCTGAATTCACTTTTTCAGAGGGAATTCTACATTGAATATCCTCAGCAACAAAAAAAAAATGTATATTAGGGGATAGAAAACCAAATTTGGCTCCTTATATCATAAACTGCCTACTGAATGAAACTCCTCTTAATTAATAATTTGCATATTGCTAATGGGATAAGTTACAAAGCTGAAAAAATAATCTGTAGTCATGTTTTTGACGTCATCCATTTCATTTGCCATTAAAAATCAAACTTCGGACAAAAGAGACGTTCCGATTATTGATCTCATAGATTTCTTACGGGAAATCAAAAAGGCCGTGTCTAGTACGTAATTATGTCACTATCACGAATATTAAACTGACAAAGCAAAAAGACTTAGTGACCCAATTACATTCATTTGTTATTCATGAATTTAAAATTGTTTGTTGTCCATCTTATCAGTAAATTAACCATTCGCTTCCTGCAAAGTATATTAACCTTTATAAGGCACTAATGTAGTGACGACTTCTGTCGTAAAGTTAGCGTCTTGGTTATGAACACACTTGATCGCCTTTTAATATATAAAGTGTACCCATGAAGTAGAGTGTTCGAATTTCTGATGCGATAGATCGTAAAGAATCCCTGTATTCCATACATTCTCGCTAATTGCACATGAAGCTTGCTTTTTCGTTGCAAGCATAGTAAATCTATAATATTACTCCTCGCGCATTCTGTAATCTCAGAACCGTCTTCTTTAGAAATGAAAAACTATCGTAGCATGCTTCATCACACAATGCAGCGCGTTTTACGATAAAACTGCACTTAAATAATTTCAGCTGTACTTCATTTTACTTTTCCAGTCATCAACAGCTCATTCAACAGATAAGAGAACAAATCATTATGTAAGCATATGCATACCCGGTCTTTGCAAAATGGCAGGACTTTTTGTGTTTCTTCAAGCTCGACTCGTTGCGACACACCACTGCACAAGAAGAACATTCCAACGTCGCATTCCAGTAATCGTTGCGGGCTATCACATTGTGTTTTTTACTGAAAACCCAAAAGATAAACTCAAATTTGATTTCTAAATGGGCTTTATCGTTATGAAAATAAAAAAATTCTCATAATACAAATACCATAAAGTTACAGAAAAAAATTATTTGACTTAGTGTTTCGAATTACGTCATCATCAATAAAATATCAATAAACATTAAATTTTCGCTTTCAAATTGAAAAAGAAAACATACAGGAAATGACTTCTTATTTCGTGGAAATTAACGAAGAATTGGGGACAGTGAGAGCAACGATATCTGCGTCGGATATAATGTGGTATTTCCTTGTGAGCTTCAAGAACAATTCGCGATTCTGTTTTGAAACGGCACAAATGGCATTCTAATATCGGCTGTAATTTCTTTTAAAGCATCATTAACAGTAATCACAAGATTTGCTAGAGAAAGTACGAATTTCTGCGCACACACAAATGCCAATTTTATTTAAGAATATTGACTAAAAAAAGCATTGTTAAGGATCCGAAACTGTTATGAAAAAGAACTTCAGGAGAATAAGTCATTTTAATAAAAAAAAGAAAAATTAGTGTTAAAATAATTTTTTCCCCTGATGTTCTTTTCATATTAAGTTTCACTCTTATATAAAATAAACAAATCCAACTAGAAGAGTAAAACTGGAAAGAACTTTTCCAATATCATCTCCAGTTATACTAAAACTGTTGGCGACAACATTTTTTCCAAGTTCAAACAAGATTTTTGTCATATGCATGGGACGTCCCTGATTGGCCACTGCTAACAACAAATTATCAGCGTAACGTATTCTTGTTTCTTGCTCTTTGATTTCTTCTGGTCTTATAAGCCTTCGTATCAATTCTTGAATAGTCATGTCTGCATCATATTCGGCTACCAATGTGACAATCTTAAACAGTAAAAAATTCTCTAAACGAACTATTTAATGCTTGAAACTTGTTTGAAATATGAATTGAGCTTGATTCATCTCAATCCACAATACTCATTTACTATTAACTATAGCTAACATCATGATGATCACAGCTTCTTCCATAATATCCCTAAGCTGGAAACAAATTCAAGATATTAGAGGTACCTGTGAAGGAGGTATGAAAACGACTTTTGGTAGTACAAAACTTCCACTCAATGATAATGACTGCATCGAGAGGGGATGAAGTCGTACTTCTTTTTCATATATACTTCGCAAAAATGTCGTCAACTTTCTGCAAACATTCAAAGTTAATTATGCATGAAGTCAAATATTTATGACTTTACCTTTTATGTTTATTTCTTTAACATGTCATTTCTTTAACAACCATTAACCTTTCTCTACTATCTTTTATCGTATCTCACACCCATTTTACCAATATCAAATAAATCAAAGTCCTTCGAATCATCTTGCAATCACTTCCTATTTTGCTCTCCCACCTTTTCTACCGTAGCTTTAAATATGAAGGAGTTAAAAACAGACGAATGTTAATAACGAAACTCACTGATCACATATCCCCTCTTCCAAACTTAACATTTCGAATCATGTTAAATTTCCACTGGTTATACATGAGAAGTACTATGAATTGCTATCAGTTCCTATTTAGTATATATTAATAAAAAGAATAATACGTCTTACCTATTGCTAATCAAACCATCTGTCCATTTTTTCAGTATCTCGTCCTCGACTGCGTGCAGAAAAATCTCATTCTTACTAACTTTTTCCAGCCATCGATCCTAAAAATAAATAGATCAAAATATCATGCACTTTTATCTCCGTGAAATTACTAACCAAACATCAATGTACGTGTCCTACCTTTAAATGTATACTGCAGTTCTGTTCGCTGCAGAACTAATAATTTTATGAAATTGAATATTGATGTTTCGACGAATATGAGGACTCAAATTATAAAACAGAAGTCAAACAAATAGAAATGAACAGATCAGAATGTGGATATCTAGCAGAAAATTGAAAGAAGATAAGAGAACTAAAAACTTCAATTATATGTTCAGTTGCTGTAATTTTTTGAAAAAAGATAATCTTCTGATGAAGTTATTGATAGTTTTTCCAATATAATAAAATGAGCAAACATGTATAGCTGAACTATGTTTCTGTTCCTACTGCTTTCTGTAATTAATTGATCTATTTCAAACGGTGATTTTTAGTGAAATAACGAAAAATGATCAGAAATGGGAGAGCTTTAAGTTCGACAAAAATTCCTTAGGTAAATTAGATTTTCCATTCTTGAGGACTGGAAAGGATAAAAGCGAAAAACAGAAACACCGAAACATCATCTCATTCTGGATACAGAAAAAAGAAATTAGAACGAACTTCGTCTTCTTGTCTAATTCTTTCATCATCAATAACCATTTCTTTCATTGTTTTCTTCCAATGATTCTAATTCCTGAAATAACAAATTAGAAAGAGAGAAGGATTCAAGTATTTGAATAATATGCTGTAATTAATATACTGATTCTTTCATCATCAATAATCATTTCTTTCATTGTATTCCTCCATAACTTATTACAAAAATTCTTTCTATAACTTCAGTGTAATAGCTATGTCTCTTAATTCATACTACATACATAAGCAAGAAGCGTTACACGTTAACGTACGCCAAATTTTTGGTGGAACAGTTGCATATTCAAAAAGTGCGAATGTGTGCTGCAATATACGTACGATTTTGATTAATCACGTAATGCAAGTACGTAAGGGTATTGATATGCCATGTAAAACAAGTACATAAAGTTGCCGGTAGATTACGAAAGACAAATATGTAAGAGTGTTGATAACACGTAAAGCACGTGGGATGTTATCTCTTCTTTTTTGCATGTCACGACTACGACACGTTCGTGTGATAGTTTTCGGTCAATTGTAATTTTCGTCAACTTATTTTAATTTTGATTTTTGTTTGTTTAGATAATAATTTACGTTGGTTCACTTATATTCACATTAACTTATTTGTCTTTATATTTAAACTAAGTGTATAATGACTGTTTTCCTTGTTTAGTCCGTTGGAGCACTGATATTTTTAGTGATTATTGTTTTTTAATCAGTGGATCAATCAGATAAGGTCAGAGCAATTTTTTTTCCACGTACTGAACTCTATTCCGAGAATAACGCACCGAGAAGCTTTTTGAAAGAAGGCGAGCAATAATTGATCTCTTGTAAATCATTATCTCTCGATGTTGCGAAGTTTTGTAAGTTTCAAGAAATATTTTTTCTTCTGTTCGCAGTAGTCTAAGTATGAAATCTCTGCTGAAAAGTGTATCACTGAATCCATGATACCATGCAATGTTTCTGTCAGATCATGTTTAGTTTTTATGATTTAAAAATATCTATACATTTTATTCTTACGCAGAATTATCTGTAAATTTGCAGCATGCCTTAATATATTATTGAAACATGTCTTAATATATTATTGGTATATGTCAAGTTCACGTAATTCATCCTTCTCCTGAATTCATTGTAATATTCTCAAATAAGAAATTAAGTATTACTGTTTATCATCCTTTGAAATTAAGTATCGTTTATCATCATCCTTTGATATACATTAAATGAATTTTTTACTCACTGGTTCAACATCATTACAATGTAATTCACATCCACTGGCGCAGCATGGAATCCATTCTTCGTTTAGTCCACACTTGAACCTTTCATCAACTATGATGCAGAAAATTACCAAGATCTGGATTATAAAAATTAATGTTATACACATATAATACATAGAAAATGTTGGTGATAATTGTCTACAATTCAATATCTGTAAATTAACATAACAAAAAAGTTAACCTACAAGAAATATCAATGCAGCGAGAACCACATTTCAATCTATTTTCTTTCTAAACTGTTCAGTAATCTGTATTGAATTTGGCATGATTATATGCCAAATTCATTAGTATCCCATTCCATAATATTATTTGAATTGCACTTTTAGAATCATCAGTTATAATGTTATATGAAATTTGTTCAGACTTTTAGCCAATTCTTTTTAAACAAATAAATGAGAAAAGCTAAATCATAGTCCTGCAACTTTTTTCAGATCAAGTAGTCATTAAAATGTATGCAAATATTAAGACTACAAGAATTTTCCGAAAATTGCTAAGATATCTCGGAAACAAATGAATTCCCCACTAGCATTAGTGATATACTACTAACCGGCGTACCTATGATTCTTGACTAGAATTTAGAGGAATTCACTATGAAGTTTTTTGATATGATTTTGAAGCAATCATCATCATATCATGACGATTGATTGATTAGATTAGATTTCATTAGGATTAATGTTTCCTACCAATTAGTCGCTTTGCTAATAATAAAACTAATTATTCAACTTTTTAAAATGATTTATCAATGCTTATTAATGTAAACAAATTTGTAATAAATAAAACTTATAGAATAATTTAAAAAATTTTTTTTGTCATATTTCTACAGAATGGACGAGAATTTCAGTGTTACATTCCCTGCTATTATGTATGGATCATTCCTAATGTAACTATTACAGTTATGATTCATATATGATTCAGATTCATATTTTGAATTAAACATCAAACATGTGAAACATCACGTTTACGTACACGTCAGATTTTTCTTCATTCTTCTACAATAAATAAATATGAAAAAAAGATAATTGATTACATTATTATCACTTTTTATTAATTGATATGTATGGATCATTCTTAATGTAACTATTTTAAGAATGAAAAAGCAATGAAGGATGAATATAAATGAAAAGGTTTGTATTAAGAGGTATTGTTCAGAAATCTTCTATCTTCTTTTATTGATGTTTTTGGACATTCAGATATGGCAACACACTTTTTCGCTGTATCTCTTCTGAATCCATCATATGGGGGGCAGTAACAGCCAGCCGGATCACATTTCGCAAAGCATGGAGTCTGAAAGAATGGAGAATGGAAATTAACTAATAAAGATTCCTGAAAATTTTAATGAAGAAAGCTTTTTGTTTTTGACTAATCCTATTTTTGTTTAGATTTTGTATGATAAACTTTTCCTTAAAGAATAAAAACAAACGTCTAAAAATGATGCGCAAATGACGTTTTGACAATATATGCGTACGTTTAGAGATAAAAACATTGAAGCATATGATTAGTTTATAATTAATGAAGTAATGATAATGTTTATGAATAAATAAATGAAAATATCCTAAATTTACCATTTGTATTGCAAACAAACATCGATTTAAAATATCTATAATTAGCTGATAAAGTCATTAGTGTTCATAAGTTTTGAATCACTAACAAATTCGCTTTCATTGCACTTCAGCTCGCATCCTTTGCAAGTAGTCCAAATCTCATTCGTTTCACATTTGTGCCGTCGGCTTGTATTCACGTACGTAAAAGTTACCATAAATGCCTGATTGTAAATTTACAGTCGTACACTTATCGAATTTCATAAATAACATAAAATATAAATGATTTTAATTAACAAGATGAATAATGATAATGATAGAAATCATTGTTAAAATTGATTACAGCAAATAGACTTTATCTAAGTAATTTATTGATTTGACATTTTTATAACTGTATTAACAGACGATCAATTGATTGATCGCCAAATAAAATGTTTCTTTCCAAAAAGGTTATCTTTTTCTCTTCATCTTTATTATACAGCAATTCTGTAGTAATCTAACTGATATTTCTTAATAATCTTCCTTCCTATCTTATTATCTTATTGACCTCATAGAATGAATTAAGACTAATAATGGAATATCTACCTTCTGACAGTTAATTATAGAATGGAAATATCTGCTGTTATTACTATCGAAAGATTTATGCCTAAGTTACAAAAAAAAATCGAAATAAAATCGATTTTTGCAAATCGGAATATACCAATAAACGGATATGTATGTATTCGAATACTTACAGTTATTAAAATGGGAATTCCGTTCATTCCGTATAAAAACCGCAAACTTCTTACCTATTCAACTGAATCATTGGTACTGTGCTCTTTTTTAAAAAGTATTCTGAAAAGTGATTAAAACAGGTTTTGAGGTAATAATTGGAAATGAGAAGAAAACATTTGCGAACATTAAAAGTAAACATGAATGAATGGTTTCTATTTCGTAAATATTTGTGAGAAAAGTTTTCCTAATAAATTCGATAAACAAAAAGGAAAAAGAAAGCATTCATTAATTTCGAATTTAAGCTATTCCAATTATTATTATATTTTTTTCATATAAAAATTTTTTCATTTTCTGAGCTCTTTTATAGTTTCATATTTAAATTTTAAAATTTCATAGCTTTAAATTTATTTTATGAAATAATTAATAGAATAACTAGTTGATATAGTATAATCATCTTCAACAAATATCAATCTTTAAGTTAATATAAATCATAAAAAAGTAATTTAAATTGCGAAAGCAACGAAACGAAAATGAAACATTACAAATTTAGTTGTAATAATAAAAATATATATGTGACATTTATCAATCAATCAGTATTTTCAAGTTTCATTTTAAATGCGACAAAAATAATTTAATAACAAAGGTGAGAAGAATTTTTAGAAGCAATTAAAAGTATATTACCCCTTTTTCTCAATTATCATTATTTCTAATGATTTGAAGTGAAAAATTATTAGCAACAAATAATTTAAAGCATAAATACAACTTTTTTAATATGAATTTTAACGTGATTAATAATTAGTAATTAAACAGTATCAAAGATTACCACTTAATTATCTACATCCTATAATCCACTTTCACATCTCAAGTACATCAAAATTAGTAATCTCTTTTTATGGGACATTTGTTTATCAACTAAAATTTCAGGATTTCAATATTTTTCAAATTTTAAAATTTCAATTTCAATTTTAGTATCTTTTCTTTTCGACCACTTTCATCTTTTAATTTTTCTAATTTAGCCAATTAGATTATACTAATTAAATAAAAAATTATCACAACAAATGTATGAAAATTGAAGAGTACGTACAATTGTGCTTCAATATGCTAATCATTTCTTTATTCCTTATTAATTTCATGCAAATTCCAATTTCAATTAATATTAATTTTCTCTCAGCAAATTTTTGCAGTTATATTATAATTGGCGGTGAAGAAGAAAGATATGAAATAATAAAGGAATTTGAATTTTTGAACTTTTCATTTCTAATATATTCGCTTTGCAATCAAAACTTTCGATTCATCCATTTTGAGCAGCCAAAATTTTCTTAAAC